TAACTTATGGTGATGTATTGGAATTTTCTCAAAGGGACTTTAAATTAAAGACAAGAGAGGATCTGATATGAGAAGGATATATGTGTCAATGGTTTTCCTATGTACAACTACAAGAAAGATTTAAAATAGATAAAAGGACTTATAGTTTTGAATATAAGACTGAATTCGAAGCAGAATTATGTACTAATGATGAACATGTTATTGCAAAGAAGTATAAACTCTTATTGAAACTAGAGACAGAAGATGAACAAATTAAGGACTGTATGATAAAATGGGCTAAAAACTTTGGTTATAACATACAGATGGAAAAATGGGAGAAAATGTGGTTGAAAGGACTGAAAATTACATTGTATTATAATCTTAAAGAAAATGTTTATAAAATGATGTATCACTGGTATTTTTCACCATAAAAATTATCTAAAATGTATAAAGGCACTTCAAATGTATGTTGGAAATATGAACACAAGAAGGGACATTTTATCATCTCTGGTGGACTTGTAAAAAAGCAAAAAAAATGTTTTTTTAAATCAGGTACATATTTTAATTCAGAATTCATGTTAATTTAGCAGTTTTAATTTTATAACACATATTGTTATGTACATATTCAATAACGAAAAGCTAATGATTCAAAGAACCTGCACTGCAAACACTTTAAATTGATGACTCAAACAAGCAACTTGAATTAGTCATTGTTTAATTATAATGTTGTCAATTACAGGTAGTCCCTGTGTTAAGAACGCCTAGTTTACAGATGACCCATAGTTAAGAACAGAGCCTATTGTAGCAAAATTTGAGTTAAATACACAATGGTTTGAATTAATTACACAATATTACTTATACAGTATTATACAATAATACTGTTCTGGTTTACATGCAAATTTGACTTAGGAACAGATCTTGGGAATGGAACTTGTTCTTAAACTGGGGAGTATCTGCACAACAAGAGCTGGCTAACTGTCAGCTGTACTAGTAGGCTAGACAAGAAAATCACCTCCAAGAAAGGCTAAAACTACTTCCAGTGAGATTGGCTATAACAACAACATCTTACAAGTCTGACTGTGTTGTACCTTGTCCTCCTCCTCATACTCCAGTGAATCAGGGAGGCATTGCCTGAGCAGCTTCCAAATGTTATCTTATTGTTTGGACTTAAAAAAAAAACACGCTTCAGCTCCTTTTGCCTAGGTAACAGTTCCTGCATATTTCTATCAAGGTCCTCTTCCTGACTCTCTGCACCAACCGCTTGCTAATACTTTGGACTGAAAGTTTTGCACAGTAAAAAACTGCATATTGCCTTTTTGTAAACCTTTGTGCTCTGGAGAGAGTATCAAATGCCACTTACTTGAATCTGCTGAAACCTGGGATTCTTTTAGTGATAATTGTGTGGAATTATCACCATCATCATCATCGTCTGTAGAAAGGAAAATTGAGAAATTTATATTTTATATGGAGATTGCACAGAATTAATGTATTATTTTAAACCTTTGTGGGGTGCTCCGGGGTTCAGTACTCTCTCCGATCTTTTTTAACATCTACATGAAACCGCTGGGTGAGATCGTCTGCCACCATGCCATGAGGTATCATCAACATACAGATGATACCCAGTTATGCATCTCCATCCCGAGTGAGGTGAGTGATGCCATGGCCACCCTTTCGTGGTGCCTGGAGGCTGTGGGGATTTGGATGGGGTACAACAGGCTTCAGCTGAACCTTGGTAAGATGGATTGGCTATGGATTGGAGGCCCCTCTGTATCCAAGGATTCACCATCTTTGGTTTTGGACAGGGTTGCACTGCCCCGGACAGACCCGGTGCGTAATCTGGGGGTCCTCCTGGACTCATGACTCCTGATCAAGGAGCAGGTGGCAGTTGTGGCTAGGAGGGCCTTTGCCCACCTTCATGTGGTACATCAGTTGCACCCTTTTCTGGACCAGGAGGCTCTCCGGTCAGTCACTCACACCCTGGTCATCTCTCGGCTAGACTATTGCAATGCACTCTACATGGGGCTACCTTTGAAGAGTATCCGGAAGCTACAGCTGGTTCAAAATGCGGCCACATGGACAATCTTAGGTGCCCCAAGAATGGCACATATAACACCTTTATTGAGCAAACTGCATTGGGTCCCAGTCTGCTTCTGGGTCCAATTCAAAGTGTTATTTCCTTTAAAAATACACATGGCATGGGTCCAGGTTACCTGGGGGGACCGTCTCGCCCCCATCACATCAACCCGTCCCACCTGCTCAGGTAGAGAAGGCATGTTGCGGACCCCGTCAGCGAGAGAGAGAATGTCAGCTGGTGGGGCCCAGGAGGAGAGCCTTCTCTGCTGTTGCCCCCACCCTTTGGAATATTCTCCCCCCAGAGTTGTGGCACGCCCCTACCCTCCCGGCTTTCCGGAAAGGATTAAAGACCTGGCTCTGCCAGCTTGCATGGGGTGACCACAATCTTATCCAATCCTAGGGGTGGCTGGGACCTCGATGACACTCCCTGAGTGACTGCCAATTTTAACTGCGATCCTTGGATCTATTTATTTTCTATCTATTTAAGATTATTGTATATTATAATTTTAATTGATTTTAATTGTTCTGTAAACTGCCCAGTTTCAACAAGATGGGCGGTGACAAATTTGATATATATAAATAAATAAAGGCACTACAGTATACAGAAAAAAATGACTCCTGATATTCCTTTTCTTGCATTTACATAATTCATTACATAATGAAAACTGCTACGAGGCAGGATACCAATGGTACTTATGTCCTTGGGGGAATAAAAATCTCTACAGCCTCAATGAAACTGTTTCATAGCACAGATGTGCAAAATTCATCAAACAACCCTGGAACATTCTGTTCTTGGAACATCTTTATTACATTTTATTTATTATTTTTATGAAGAATAAAATGACATTGTGACAACCTGCATTCAGCTTCCTATTGGAGTTCCCGTATCCATGCAGAAACTCAAACATAATTCTTGGGCAAAGTTAGTTTAGTTCCTCATAGAATAATGTTCCCATAGGAGGAGAAAGGGCTATTGAGCTGGCCTCAGAGGAGGAGTGTTAAATTACTAGAGAAAATCTGGGAAAGAAGAATTGGGAGTAAACGGGGATGGAGGTGTAACAGTTGGCAACTAAGATAGATTTAGGCAGTGGTGTCCACTGATGATTGGCTGTGGGTAAAAGAGAAATGGTGGCTGGTAAATCTGTAATGGGTTGGGAAATGTTTCCTTTGTAGCCTAAAGAGTAGAAAGCAGAGGACGGCAGGCCAGGGGAAGGCCCACCAAAAACCTAAAGAGAAGGTGATCGCACAGGATATAGTCTACCCTTCACAGCCAATCCCTTAAGGCAGTGTTTCTCAACCTTGGCCATTTTAAGATGGATGGAGTTCAACTCCCAGAATTCCCCAGCCAGCATTCTGGCTGGGGAATTCTTGGAGCTGAAGTCCACCTGTCTTAAAATGGCCAAGGTTGAGAAACACTGCCTTAAAGATTGAAGATGATGGAAGGTGTTACCAGACTGAGAAAAGTCAGCTGCCAACCTAAGAGAGGGGGCACTACTGACCAGTATCTTTAAGCCCTTTCTTAATTCTAAGTATTAGTATTTAGAGTATTTAGAAACAGAGAAAGCACATATGCTTTAAACTAACAAGTATGTGTTGCCAACATATAGGCTGTTAGAGAAACCACGAGCAGAGAGAAAAAAGTTCATTCCCACTGCAGTGTCAAATCTCAAACCGCTGCAGGAAGAGGTTATCAATTATGTTTGCCAAGTTTGGCTGGAACACTGAAACTGGACACTATCTGTTTAATAAAAGGGGAAAAAAGCGGAAGTGGTAGTTTGCAATGAGTTTTCTATCAAAACCTGAGAAGCCACAGAAAGCACCAGTGACAGACACCCAGAACACCATGTCTGGAATATCTTAAACGGCTTGCAGTTTAATGGATTTAGTTCTGGAAACTAAATAATCTTTTCAAATAAGAAAATATTTCTGCTACTTAAATACTACTACAATGCTTTGGTGAGAATGCAATAATTATAAGATTTTCCATTTTTATTTCTACGTCTAGAAGTATACAACTACATAAACTTACATATATTCACCTCTCTTTTTCCAGAAGAAACAGCAAAAAAGGAAAAAAGACAATTCTAGGATTTTGATGAGGAGAAAGGAAGATTAGCACTACTTGATCAGGCCTAGTTTCAGAGCTTTATGGCCCTTATTTTCTTAGGGCATAAAACAGACCCTGCTCAGGGGGCAACTTCTGACTTAACAAATAAACAAACGAACAAAACCCTAGCGGGGGCCAGATTGGGTTACTACTTCAGTAGGAGATCTCTAAGGAATACCAGCTTGTAAACTAGACTGGCAAATAACTTTCATATTGTTCCCCAAAACCTGTACTTCTACATGCATTATCTCTTTGTCTAAATAATATCACGTTTTTATTTATGGGAAAATGTTTCTCCAATTTATTTTCAAATTTATAATATTTTATATTTATAAATGTATAATATTTCATATGTGTAAATGTATAAGTATTATTACAATTAAATTACAATTCTAAAACAAAAGTTTCCAACAGGACAGTTTCCAAACTTTCAGGGATAGGTCAGACAGAGTGAACTATGCTGTTTTGCAAACTACAAAGGAGAAAAAAGAGATTGCAATCAAGCCAGTTACAAGACTGGCTACAACATCTATTCTTTAGCGTTATGAATGAACCAGGCCCCTTAGCTCAATGGGACTTCTGGATTTATGGATTATGCTAAATCATAGTTTGTATTAGACATAGTTTGTTTAGTAATTCACAGTGTCCTGATTTATATACAAACCATAAGTTATGGTATATAAATATTAAAACTTCAATTTTATATATCATACAAAGTCAAAACCCAAAACACAATTGTTTAGCAATATGTAATCACTCTGTGTTAAGGACTGTAGCCTAAACCATGGTTAAGGGCGGCATTATATTTATGGAGACTACAATAAGACGCCGCTTAATAGAATACACACATTGCAGAGACCCCACAAATCAGAAGTCCCTGAACTCATGCTGAAAGATACCTGTAGTTTTTTAAAAAAATTATCATATCTTCATGATCACATAAATGCATTTGCATTTAATGAAAACCAGATAAATCACCATTTCCAAAAGTTCTAAAGTATAGTGCTCTCCAGGGTTAGCAAAGGGTTGAATAATTTTTTTAAAGCACTTTATTAGAGAAGGATATATAATGCCGTAAAGAGAATATGATCTGACTTGAGAGTCTGTCCAAGATCCATCTAGACCATCACTCTGCTTTCCGTAAAAGATCTTTATAGGCAGAATGGAAATTGCTTTGCCCCCATACTGCTTCTGAACTTCAAAGATGTTTTATTTGTCATTTACCCATCCCATCAGGTCTAGCAGGAGGGGTATGTTATGGGTCCCATCTGCCAAGGAGGTCCATTTGATGGGACCCAGGAGATAGGCCCTTTTTTGCTGTGGTTCCCACCCTCTGGAACATCATTCCCCCCCCAAGGTGAAGTTAATGCCATCCCTACCAGCCTTCCAAAAAGCTCTTAAAACATGGTTTGTCCAGCAGCCTTGGGGATCCCATGGGAACAGGGAGCTTGCAAGACAGTGGTGCTGTGCTGAGAATGTGTCTGTTCTCCCACAATCTTGGTTTTTTATTTATGTTTGGTTCTTAATAGTTTATATTTGTTTTTAACTGTGTTGCTGTATGCCATCCAGAGTCACATTTGTGAGGCAGGCGGCTATATAAATTTGCTAAATAAAATAAATAAATATTCCTGAAAATGAAAATATTGGTATAAGATATACTGTAGAGGGCAGCAAAATATTGCTGTAGACTCTGAACAGTGTTTTTTTAGGATAACCCAACCAAATAAATCATAGGGGAAAAAAGTTTGCATATTTGTCCGATCACCAAATCTATCCCATATTGTGCTATAATGGCCTCTTTTTTTCCCTACAAATTTGTAATAGGTGTGTTGGCTAGGAATTATGGGAACTGTAGTTTCAACGTATCTGGAAGACATCAGGTAAGGAAGGCTGTGCTACACAATTTTTGATAAGCTAAAAGTTTACAATTTTATAACGATTTACTACTTTGCTTAAATATTAGTTTAGATTGTCATCGTCATCATCATCTTTTCCCAGTAAAGCGTTAGAGCATTTCTTTATATTTAATGAATTCAAAAAACCCCCCAAAACCATAGTTTCTTGATATTTTGAACTGGGTATGCCATTTCAACTCATACTTTTTTAATACCTACAAACCTATCAATATTTCTAACCCTCAGAAGAAAAATAATCCCCAGATCATTTGCCAGAATAGAGATAACACATTACAAGTAGCCCTTGTTTTGCAACTGCCTTGGACAGCGATCATTTGCAGTTACGAAGAGGATGAAAAGTAACTTTGCAACCAGTGCCCGCATTTACTACCTTCGCAGGTCTGTAAAGCAAAGGAAATCTGAAGTAAGATTGTAAACAGTCACGGTTTCACCTAGCGACCACTTTGCTTAACAATCAAGTTGCCAGTCCCAATTGTGGTTGCTAAACAAAGACTACCTATAGTAGACCAAATCAAGCCATAATAATAAGTTATTTAATAATAACTCATATTTGCTTTTCATAATAGTGTGAATACAAGAGAGAGACAGAGAGAGAGAAAACAATTGTAATTAAACAGTTTAACATGACACATTCTGAACTTTACCTGGCTCTGTTTGTATGCTTTCTGATATTCTGAAACAGTGCATTTTACTGAAGTTCCGAGAAAATAATCGCACACAATTGGGGGGAAGAATCATGTTCCTTAATCTTCCAAAAGTACATTCTGGAGGCACAATCACATAGCAAGCAGCATGAGCCTATAGAAAACACAACATCAAGTTCTCAAGAAGTTGTGTCAGGTGGCCAGACATTGCAGCAATTACGTTCTGTCTCCTGTAGTTTGTGATACTCTACATTGGCAGTGATAAAACAGCCAATAGAAAAGGTGGGATTTTTTTGACAAAGTTAGTGCTTTTTTCCAAAACACTGCCATGCAGCTCAGACATAAGAGCACTTATATTTTCAGTATTATTCAGCATCCTCTTAGGCATAGTGACAACAGACACTATTAATAAGTTTCTCACAAATCCAGATCTACATGTGAGCTTTGATAATCATGTGAACTTCTATATACTCAGGGCCCCAAACTGTTTTCAGTGGAGGGTTAGGGTTAGAGAAATCAAAATGCCATTTCAAAGAATGGGAAACCATTTGGATGCAAGAATGTTTCCATTATTTTATAAAATAAGTATTGGCACCATCAGAAATACCAGCTAATGCTTATCTGTTGCTTTTAAGTCTACTCTTATTCTATAGTTATACTCCATGATATCAGATCTCTTTTGCATGTCTGTATGTCTTCAAGTCAGTCTTGACTCCTGGCAACTACCTGGACAAGTCCCTGCAGGTTTTTTGGCAGCATTTTTTTAAAGTGCTTTCTTCCTGTGGCTGAGAGGGAGTGACTGGCCCAAAGGACTAGAACTCAGAGTTTCCTGGTTTCTAGCCTGTTGCTTTATCCACTACACCAAATTGATTCTCTTGGTCATTCTTATTACTTTTTCTTATTCTTAAAAGCCTTAATTTGTCTTTTCCTTCTCGCGTTTTCAAATGGAACCCCATGTACAACTAGCAGAACCTTTACCCTTCTGTAGAGATTTATTAACTACACACACACACACACACAAATAAGCCAAGCTGACAATTCTGCAACTAATTTGATTTAATAAGTAACGAAGAGAACATACTGGAATTTTGGAAGCACTGTTACTGATTGCTAGAATGTTTTCTATCTCTTGTTTTGCTAATTAAGATAAAAGATTAGCCAAACGTCTTCTCTTCCTTGATCTCCACAGCACAAAAAGATTTTTTGTGTGTATCTGGATGGTTTATAGTTCTGACAGTAGAATAAGAAAAAATACTTAATTCAGGTGAAATTTCAGTAAAGTCTTCTTTTAAGAGTAAAAGTGAATGAGGTACAGGTAGTCCTCGCTCAACAATGGTAATTGGGACTGGAATTTCCGTTGTTAAGCAACAGGGTTGTAAAGCAAAATATCACATGACTGCACCACTTGGCAACAGTAGTTCCAGCAGTCCCTGTTACTATTGTTAAGCGAATCACCGTTGGTCCTTAAGCAGAGACCTCCCATGACCACAATTTCCAACTTCCTGCTGATTTTGTTTGTGGGAAGCAGGCAGGGAAGGTCGCAAATGGCGATCCCATGACCGTGGGATGCTGCAACAGTTGGAAACCCAGACCAGTTGCCGAGTGCAATCATGTGACCGCGGGGATGCTGAGATGGCCAGAACTTCAAAGACTGGTCATAAGTACCACTCATTTAGTGCCATCGTAAGTTCAAACAGTTGCTGAACGAGTGGTCGCTAACTGAGGACCACCTGTATCCTGCAACTTTGCCACAACTTCCTAATACATTTTTCTGTCAGCTACAGGGGTATCCACAGGGTGTGGTCAAAAAGGCCAAGGTGGCAGAGGTTCAATCACACCATTGTGGGCACCATCTTCACTGCTTTTACCATGCCCTGTAATCACTCCTGCTCACTAGGTTCTAATGGTGCAAATAACTGGATTATTTCTCTACCTCAAACCAAATTCCAGTTTTCTAATCCTCTATTTCATGCTGCCATTCAGAAGGAACAAATGCTTTGCCTTTGAAGGCTAAACATTTAATCTCTAACTTTATTTGATATACTTGCTGTATTTGTACAAATACCTTCTGTGCAGTTTACATAACTATTTTTTTATTATTAATCTAGAGACCACCACATAGGTAATGATGGTTTCCCATAGCAGATGCTTTGCAGTTTAATGTGCATTTCTATATAGTGGGGTTTTTTTCATACAAAGTGTTATTGTATGATCTTTTGGAGAACAACGTTCTTTTCTTTGTATATATTTATTCTATGTTTCCTTGGGGACTTGCCTAAGCCTTAATATACCTACCAGGATGCCACACCATTCACATCTCATACCCGAGAGCACTTCAGAAGAGCCACAGGTTTTCTTACAGACTTTGCATCGTGAGCCTGACGGAAGGTTTCCCTCCCTCCAGTGATGGTGATACATATCCTATAAAGAGGAGCAGAATCATAATAATTATGTTTAAAGTGCACTGTAATGTTTTGCCCCAAAAGCTAACAGAGTCAAATCTGGTTAGTACTTGGATGGGAAACTACCCAATAGGCTACACTAGGAAATATAAAAAAAAAAACCCAGAAGAAAGCAGTAGCCAATTATTTCTGTATTACTGCCAAGAAAACACAATAGGCAGGTCCCAGCAGTCATCAGGAGTTGAACTCAAGTCAAAGAAAGCTTTACCTTTCTTATCAGAGTAACCGCCCAGAGTCTCTGGGAGTTGAACAGCATATAATGTAATAAATTATTATTACTAGTATTATTGCTGCAAGTTTTTTAAAACCCACAAGGCATTAAGTTTGATAATGTAGTTATATTATCACATCAGAAGAATCTAAGACCATACAGAAAGTCAAGGTAAACATACTTTCAGTAAACTCAAGACACAGGATCTATATTGAATAGCCAGCTATTCATCTACATGCTAAAGATCTAGAAGAAAGATTTTGCTTTATCTCTAAGCAAATTTATTACCCATGTTATTCAAAGCAAAACAAAATGATTTTGGAAAAGGAATGCTGATAAGCCCAATTTATTTCAACTGAATCGAGTTCAACCATTCCTTCATAAGCTGACAGGATCTCATCAATTACGGCCATAAATAACATCTGAAAATCAACGAATGCCTCCTTCATTTAAAATCTGGTGAATCTCTTCAATATTATATAGAACTGTTATATTAAACATATTTGTTTTTTAAAACTCAGTAAAACTTGGAAGGTGCAGTTGGGAGTTGCACTCGATGAATTTAACTGGAGCTCTCTGAGGTATAGAACCTATCTGAACTTGGAGACCTAATCTCCAAGAGGCACTAAATTCTGATAAAACTACACTATACAGTGAAATCTTGATTTAATGCATCATTCATGCTTGTTCTTCCCAAATATTAATTAAATACAAATTATGTCATTTGCATTGATTTATACCATTTCCATAATAGCATAAACAGATGAGAATGATGTAATTTACCTTATCTGATTAATGACATCATTATGCAAAGGACACTGATCAATGCAAAGAAGGAAAATTTAATGTAGCTCTTTTGTGTTTGTTTCAGATGCAGTGGACATTCCTGCTATATCAAGGGGGTGGCTGGATGGAAATTCTATCTGTTGCATCTGAAATCTGCTAAAAGAGGATCTGTTAAATCAAACTATCATTGTATAGATTGTAGGTTAGATGTTAACAGGGTATCCAAATAAATTGGTTACCACTTTAGTAGCAATGCTCTACTAGTTATTTCCTTTGGTCAAAAGTCTCCAAAGATTTTGGCAACATTGCTCAATAATTTTTCACAATGGTGATTTACTGTTCATATAACCTAATGCATACATATTAATTCCATTTTTCTTGTTATCTACCAAATTTGTTACTGCAAAACACTGAAAAACTAAGATGCATTTTTCATTGGATCAGTGATACTTAAGGGCATGGGAAATTGATCCAGCTGAAAAACTAACACAACAATAAAGAGCTCGGGAAATTTACTTGAAATTCATGTTCATTAATTAACCATATTAATAATATTTTACGACAGCGTTTAACATTTATGTATACGTATACATACATAAAATTCACAGAGACACACAAACGCATGCACAGTCACAGGCAATTTTCCTTTTTTTTCTGTTTTCTTTTTGTTCTTGGTTTAGTTTTCTTTCTCGCACAGCATATTGTGGATAATATTTAATGCTGTGCTACTTCGGTAAAAACGCAAAAATGTAACAAGCTAAAAGTATACTTACATGATTTTGATGACCGTCTTGATGGCACTGACGGCAATCACTGCAAGCAAATGGGGCACAGTCTGTGTGGACGTGTAGCTCACACACTGAAATGAATGGTGAAAAGCAACATGAACTTGCCTTTGCACTGGTTGACCAACGTACATCTCTATATTGACTTCTCACCAGGATAACTTTTTAAAACTATTACTACTGTTACAGCATGGTAGAATTAGTAAGTAAAGCATTCTGAATCTAGGTTTAAAAGTTATATATGACATAAGCATACCTTCCCCATTCAATGATGAGTGCCGGGAAACACAAAGAAATATGTTTCACTGATAAACACAATTCCATTGCAAGGGGGAATATAGGCTTCCTTTTTCATTTTTTTTCAGCAAGTCTTCAGACCTTCTTTAACTGAGTATCAAACAAGTACTCGTACATTTTTCTGAAAGATGTACTTTCAGAAAGAAACATAGATCAGGATCAGGGGGAAAAAGTTAAGATTGAAGATTAGGCAGTGCTGAGTAGTGGTATAATTCATTACTTTTGGAGCTTACCTTCACAGCGGAATGCTGGACTTTCCAGTTGCTTTCTGCACACAGAACAGAATTTCCTCTTGTAATGACCTACAGGTCCTAAACAATGTGCAACTGGAACCTGCAGGGGAAACAATGTGGATTAACTGCATATTGTTCAAGAATTTATGATTGAGTGTGGGTGTATGTGTACAGCTATAGAGAGATGGATTATTTATTTGTATGTATGTATGTACGTACATACAGTATATAAATAATCATTATCAGCCAAAATCAATCCACTGCAACATGAAGTCCTCTTCACTGAAGGTTATACACTATAATCAACCATGTTGGTCTGGTGTGGGTTGGTAGACAGATGTTTTTCGACTTCCTAGACTAGGCTAAGAGAGAGTGACTTGCCCAAGTCACCCAGCTCCATGCCTAAGGAAGGACAAGAACCTGGGCCTGCTTCTAGTCCAGTACCTTAGCCTGCCTGCCTGCCTGCCTGCCTGCCTTCTCTCTCTCTCTCTCTCTCTCTTCCTTCCTTCCTCCCTCCCTTCCTTCCCTCTCTCTCCTTCCTTCCTTCCTCCCTCCTTCCTCCCTCCTTCCTCTCTCCTTCCTTCCTTCCTTCCTTCCTT